GAGACCAGCACCTGTTATTAACTAGAGAACTGGCACTGCATGATTATGTTGGATGCCAACAAACCCCGCACCGCGTTCTACGCCCTTGACGTAGGCTTGCTGTCGCCCGTGTAGTTATATTGTAGGAAATCTGTGTATTGCTATCTCTGTCGTTTGTAGATTCCCATCTCACAACTCACCAAACCAAACACACAATCATTTCACCAAACAACAACCATGACTACCAAACTGTCCCACTGCCTAGCATAAATATCTACGTAGTTCATAGTTTAGATACAACAATATCACATCTTATTCTGTTCAACAATCTCTGCTGTCTACCGTCTTCATTTAAACTATCCGAGGTACCGTTACAACTATCAATTTTGTTGTTTTCATTGCTGCTTCGGCTCAGATGAAGTCATTACTGCTGCGGGCTGGCAAAGGCTGCGACACATAATAATATTCAACCAAGTCTTTCCTCCCTCTTCTTATATATAAGGATTTATAGGGGCAAAACCTATCTACTAAACATGAAGCCAGAAGTCATCAACACTACGGAGAAAATCGGTGAATTGGTCGATTGGCTCGTCTTGATAGCACCAATGCGATATTATAAAGTATGCAATCGTTGTTCGAAACGACCGCGAAAAGGCGACGCATCTTCGCCCTGGTGTCGGACAGTTGACCGAAACGCTTACCCAGTCTCATCCTCTTCTTGAGGATTCCGTACTCAAGGCACACACGCTCATCATTGTGACCAAAGGCACGCTTGCTCATCGCCATGGCAAGACGGACGGCGGCCTTTCTGGTGTTGTTGCGTCTTCTTCTGCTCGGGCCATGGAAGACACGCCTGCCTTTCTCCCTGAGTGCCTCGCTGGCCATGTTGGCGTCGTTGTGATCGACGAGGGTCACACCAAAGGTGGCCGCCACGTCAATGCTTGGAAAGCTGCGCGCTGGCTCCAACCCAACTTTTGTGTCACGTTGACCGCCACTCCAGTCCCATGGTCCCTTGAGAAGGCCTCGGGCATTATTTCCATGTTGCAGGACGAAGCAGTGGACCGAGACGCCCAGCGGTTGTATGCTTCAAAGACGCTACAAAACCCGTACGCGGAGCAGGTTACTGACCCTACCACCCTCCAATACGGTGCGATCCTAGCGGCCTTTGAGGGCTTCTTCAACCGATACGACACCGTTCTTAACTTGGGTCGTGTTTTGAAGCTGTCACTAGGCCCATACACGCTACGCAGCACGTACCAGTCAAGTTGCCATATATACCCCTGTGGTGATGTACATCGGCTGGGGAACCTCATGCCTCCTTCCTATTTAATGCGCATCCACATTGAAAACGGCCTACTGTCGCGCAAGGTGTGGGACAACGAGGTGGGGGACGTGTACTAGAAACTTTATCACAAAAACAAGGAGGACGGGCCTAACGAAGGGCAACTTTTTTAGAATAGTAAATATCGCCAGATTCTAGAACTCGCGTCTGTCTGCGTTCTTATATTCTTTACTATAGAGATCTATGACGTGGCTAACAACGACACGTTAGTAGAGTATCAGGAACTCTACGACAAGAATTAGTACGTCGCATACTTGTATAAGCTGCTAGTAAACATCCACATAGAAGCAGCCAAGTTCCGCGGCTATAAAAATATTCTTTTAACTTTGCTTCGGCCAGACGAGGAAGCAGCAGTAGCGGAGGGCGAGGACAAGCAGAAGGAAGTATGCCCACTGCCCGACAAAGACAACGCTAGCAGCATCGTGGCCTGTTTTACAGGCCGCTCGGAGCGACTGAAGCTTCTTCTCGCCCTCATTGCCGACTGGGTAGCAGGTGCCCACGAGAAGGTAACTGTGTGGTGTTCGAACTTCTAAAAGGTTTGCAGTCGAACCGTCTTCACAGCTCCTGCCCCGTCGACTAGCATTGCTACTTAATGCCGTAGCCGCATTAAACGCATTAGATAAGCGCACACGTACATTGTAGAGTAGATTTTTAACCGCTATTTCTTCAACTTTTAGATCTACTTTAAGGCTATCTATTAAGCACTTCCCCCCATAATAATGCACTTAAATATCCCTAAGCTAGAAGAGATTCTTAAGGTAGTCAAGACTCATCAAGAGAACCCAGACGCTAACGCCCAACTCAACACCTCGTCGTTCACTAGCTACTATCGACTAGCCGACGGTACCATCATCTACGAGGGTGCTGCCCGTTTTGTAGAGATATAACACGAAGCCACCGAGTTGGATGCGGACCAGTTCATCAAGTACCTCTGAACGATGCTCGACACCAAGACCTACCATGCAACGCGCCATGTCGACCGTGTCGTTAGCTTCGCAGAAGGCGAGCACGCCGGACGAGGGATCGATGGCGGGCTTGTGGAGCTGTAGGGCAGCGTGTTTGCACATCTCTATAGTATGCAAGCTCTCGAGTTAGCCGTAGTTGTGCGTTGTGCTTCATCTTCAAGTTGCACTGTGTTTGTATCGGATGTCTTCCGATCCGACGGTGCTCGGACTGATGTGGCTGTCGATTGGTGTCGCTCGCCGGGGCGGGGGCAGAAGAGCAGGCCAATCGACAGCCGTCGCTGAGCAGGGGAGAGGAGCGACACCAATCGACAGCCGTCGCTCGTTAGCCACAATCACGTGGGAGGCAGGCCGGAAGTAGGACGGGCGATACCCTCACTCATCAGCGAGACCAATCCACAACCGACACCAGTCAACCACGATAATATCAGTTGCTCAGACATCCGCAACAACATCCGACACCGATCAAACTACCATGGGAGGCGTCCGCATTTCAGTGCAAAGAGTATACATCATCGCAGACTCGCCCTGCCCCTTGCTTCTAACCGTCTTGATACAAAACTATCAGATATCAGTTCTTGATACTCATCTACACAGCCTTCCTATAGATTGGGAAACACCACCTCCTCTCCCACATTATCCAGTCTCAGAACAAACTTTATACCGTATTCCTAGCCAAATATCATCGTCATAGAAAACTCAAATATCGATCTACCATCGCCCAGCCCCCCCGATCATGCAGTTCACGGAACCAAGCATTATTGTCCCCACCCAATATATTTTCCAACATATACCCCTTCCCTGCTAAGTATTAAGACAAGGTCCAACCTATAATCACCACAGCCATATTCCCTGCCTGAAACGTTAAAACCAGCCAGAAGCAGCCAACCAACACGCGCTACCTTCTTTTTATCCAACAAACACAAGAGAAGCGCTACTCCCAAATCGAGCATGTATAGGCGGCATCTCCCCCCAACGCATGCATCAAGTCCAAGAAGTGCTGTGCTATATAACCTTTGGGAGAAAGAACGGAAAACGAAACGTCGACTTCCCTGTACATTTTGTTTCGCATCGTTCTTTCTTAGGGAATAATTGGCCGGCCAAGCAGGGCATAAAGGAAACTTGGTTTCGAAAGAGTATTATTTCAAATCTGTATTTTGCCACGAAGCGCGACAGGGGATGATGGGGGGTTATTACCTTTTTTTTCTCTGGCTCTTTGTTCGGCAGTAGAAGTTAGAGTTTATGAGGTTGAAGGGATTTTGTGAGGCACAAGTGCGGGGAAAGTATAGAGATGGGAAGTTTTGTCAATTAGCAGGGGGTGCCTGGCCGGGGATCAAAGTGATGGGGGTTGGGGATCGGAAAGTAGTAGTACTACGTAAGCAGAGTGGCGAAAGTTTAAATTTCTCCGAGTTGCGCAACAGTGAGAAAGGAGGAGGAAAGACGGGGGCATCAAGGTGTGTTTTGTTGGATAGCTCGTGTTTATCTATGTGTGAAACAATGAATCATCAAATGTTTCGACGTCCAAGTATGCAAAAAGAAACGCAGAATACTAAGTGGTGTCAAGCTTTTTTTTTTTTGCTGGAAAGTGTAACGTGCGCCGCATATGCACTGAATATACCCAGTTTCCGTTGCACCGGGAAATTAAATATTGACAAAGAATCAGAAGTAAAACCCAATTAAAAAAATTGATTCTATACATTATTCAGCACGGCCTTGCTTGTCCCGCGACTTATGCGACTGAGGCCGCACCTCTACATGCATAGTCGAGAACAATTCATTTTTGCCCGGTTGCGTGAGATATCCGCTATCATACGGAATGTTTCCCTCAGACTCCACTCTTGTCAAGCCCTTGGTGCTATCCACGCTCTTTAACGATCCCGCCCTCGTGAGTTCGATTTGGTCCTGGGTAACGCTATCGAGGCGCTCGTGAGACGTGACGCGGACTTCGTTGGTGATGAAGATATGCCCCCAGTTGGCGACGACGGTAGGCCAGAAGATGGGCATTGAGGCGCACATGATTGCGAAACTGACTTCGATGAAGGAAATGATGATGACTTCGGGGTACCACCTATACAATCCAGCATTAGTGAGGGTCCCATTTCAGAGTGGTTTAGAACAAGAGAATTGTTTCTTACCAGACATAATCGAAACTCTGGATTGAACTCTTGTTGTGTTTGAACATAGCCCAGAGACGCAGAACGGACATCAAAACAGCACTGTAAAAAATGAGTCAGCCAGTATCGCAGCAAATCACGTCGATGTACTAACATGGCACCAAACGCAAACAGTCCCGTCATAGCAATGACCTCCTTGCGCCTCAGATTGTTCCGACAATACTCAGTGAGCGGAATAGCAAAGATGATGAAATCAAACATCATATTGGTCGCCGCAAAAGCCAGAACCGACGCCTTCGCCTCGCCCACAGAACTGTACCCATACCCATAGCACTTCGCCCCGGGCGCTCTTGTCCAAAAGGCAGAAACAGGGAAGCACGGGAACCAAGCCATGAAGAGGAAAACCAGCGACCACACACCAACGAGCCCAAGCACGACCTTACACACGATGCGACGCGCGCCGTTGCGGAACATGCGAAGGTACTGCAGGAGAAGCGAGATTTTGATGCAAACGGTAGTGGTGTGGTACGAGGCATTATTGATGTACATTGTCATCATGGTTGGTTTGAGCACGGGGATAATGTAGATGAGGTGACGACCCATGCCGTAGTTTAGACCTGTAGAGAAAAAAAAACAATCAGATGTTTCCCCTTCAAGGAAAGAAAAAAAATTGTTAAAACCGTGAACAGCAAGGCAAGACTTACTCAGCAGGAATCCGACGAGGGCAGCGAGATTGAATAGCGCTGCCAGCACGACGAAGAGGCCATCGAGACCAGGCTCGCGGACTACGCGAAGACGGGTGTGAAGACGGCTTGCGACGAATACCCAGCAGAGGACCTGTCAATGTTTAGTTCGGTTTGTCGGTGTCTCACCGTGGGGGGTGTTGTAAATGGTACCTGCAGCGGGATAGTGATACCGTATATTGTTCCCTTGCGATTCCACACCGGAATGCGCTCATTTGGGTCCGGGGGATTCTGGAATAGCATCATCATGATGGATGTGAACTCATCCTTCATGGCAGGCGTTTCGTCTGCCATGATGGTCCAGTGATGTTGGAGGAGCTAGAGATGGGGGGAGGTGTGTGGTCCGCCAGCGGATGAGTCGTAGATGACTACAGTCTGGAAGTACTTTTAGAGCGAATAAGCCTCTAGAGTACGTATGCGCCTCGTCTCCCCTCTTTACACAGCACCAGATGCTAGTTCGCCCAGTTTCAGGAAACAAGACTTGGGGCCGGGGTAAGCGATTAGATCCATGTAAACCCGAGCCGTGGTGGAGGTCGTGGCCGCCCATACGATCCGCGACAGGGCCGAAGGAATACTTATCAGCGGAACAAGCATTAGAGATGTGTCGTAAATAGTCATTAAGCCGTTCGGCGCAGGCGAACATCATGATGTTGGGACGGGATGGCTGGCCTTACAAGGGTGCCAAGTGCAGCAGTGGTGCGACATGCACATTGCCGTGCCATGTTGCCTAAGCTGCTTCTCTCATGCTCAGAGTCAGGGTCATGATCTTCAGTTTGAAAATAAAATAAAAGCATTACCCTGATTGACAGCACTAGGATTTTGGTGGCACTGTAGTGTACTCAGATTTGGAATACGAACAGTTTGTTATACAAAAAGTCAACCCGACCGACCAAGCCTCCGAGCAGTTCCCAAGCGCTTCAGCCGCTGTCAAAATGTTGGCAAAATGCAACAAGGTAATGGCTTTCTTCCTTCCTAAGCTAGAAGTTTTTTTTCTTGCCGCCACCACAAACTCTGTCCTACTGAAACGCACGTGGAAGGCCCGTGTGGAGTACGCCCCATCTGTTAGGCGGCCACCCCACAAAGATTTGGCTGGATCTGATGCGCGAGTAATGCATCAGCCTTGGAAACTTTGTCGTGCGGGTCGCGGCCGTGAACGGAATATAATGTCATTGCTATATGCAGTCAACGAGGATTACCGCCGCCAGACGGCATGGCAATCGTCGAGCTTGCGACTACGATTCGCCGCAGTCGGGAATTTTGCGGTCAAGTCAGCTCGCTAGCTCACGCTGATGTCCGTGACAGTTGAGTCTAAGGATAATTAGGTAATCTTAGGCGCGCCCTATCTGGGCAAGTCTACGGCCAGATTTGCCCGCACAGGGGTAAACGTCCATCAGCTAGACTCTTCTCATCTTGTCTTCAGCAGCCGGATAGCAGCCACCACAAGCTAGAATACTCACATCCTTGCGAGTGACAGGACCTACCCACTTTTCCAGCAAGGAACGCCATGAAATGCAGCAAAAACGCCAAAATAACTGACCCAAAATCCCACGTGCGCTTGCGCGTCTAGTCCTCCATCTTCATATCCTCAAAGTCGTCAAGTAGCTGATCCATTGGAATCTGAATGCCTTCGTCTTCGTCATCACCAAGACTGCTCTCCGTTTCCATTGCATCTGCATCGCGCTGCTGCTGGGCCTTGTAGAGTGCCATTGTCTGTCGGAGCTCTTGATCTTCCTCAACATCCTGCAAGAACATCTCAAAGTCGCGCTCCATCTTCTCCTGGTCTTGCTTGCGAGGCAGCATCTCGCCCTCCTCCTTGTGCATGCGCTTGACGCGCCAGTTGCGCTTGTTCTTGCTCTTACGGGACCGCTGGTAGAACTTCTTGACGAGGACCACATCTGGAATAGCCGATGCGTATTTGTTATTCTGTTCGAGGACATCGAACAGATCGTTGTTGAAGTTTGTGTTGGCAAGCAGGTAACCCATTACCGAGTCGCCAACGTGGAGAATACCACCAAGGTGTGTTCGGCAGTAATATGTTGTGTCATTGACACCCATATCGGACGCGCGTGCTACAGTTGCTTCTGCGAGAAAATTGCGTCCAGATTGCTTACCCAAGGGCTCAATGTCCAAGACAACAAATTCAGTCAACTCTTGCACGTCTGCCAGTGGTCGGAATGGCGTCCGCCAATATATATCGGTAGCAACATCGGCAGTTTGTAGTGTTGCTGGGTCAAGGAGCTGGACAGATGTGCCAATGCGTGAGCAGAGTGTCAGAGGTGAGATATTGCCAATCTTCTTGGCCAGTGGGATGGGAAGTACGACAAGGTCGTCTTTACAGATAGGTACAATCTCACATGAGAAGGAGAACTTGTAGTTCTTGGTCGACGTGTGGATATCATGTGAGATGAGTTCCTCGGACCTCTTGATGTTGACAGGGATAACGGCCTTCAAAAAGTCGCAAAAGGCGACTGCGTGATTTCTTTGTGCGAAGAAAAAGTCGATGCCGTCGTGTACTTCTTTGATGTTGATGGTGTCTTTGTGTGCGCCGTGCTTCAGGATCAGCTGTTCTAGGTACAAGAAGGTCCTCTTGTGCGGCACCTTTTGCCGCACTTGTACGCAGGCTCTCCATGTGTTGTGCGTATAGCTCTTTGCGCAATCCGGGCACTGGTTGTAGTTTTGTGTGTATTCGACTTCAAAGGTCTGCTGCATGATGGCACCCTCGTTCAGTTCCGACTGCACCGTGATCTTGACCTTTATCCTTCTGCTGTGCGGTTCTGTCCAGATGAAGCTCGCGTCAATAATTCGTAGCTTGTTCAGTCCACGCAGTTTCCGGAGGCACAGAGCGAGCAGTTCGCGCGACTCTGGGGGCGCGACTACCCAAGTCGAGGGTGGGGAGAGCCATCGGTCGCAGTCACGGCACATGAGCAGGATGGCTTCACGCTGGATACCGCCGGTAACATCGGTTTTGAGTTTTATACAGTCGTAGCAAAAGGCTCCAGATATGGTTCCGTCGACCGGGGCGCCACAGTCGGCACAGAGGATTGTTGCTGCGTTCTTAGGCGCAGGCGCAAAGGACTGAGCGTCAGTCATTGTGCCGTCCATTTTGGCGAAGAGATTCGGCAGCAACAGTGTGGTCAAGGTGTTTGGAGTTTCTCTGGTCGTAACAGAGAGAAATGATATGGGTATAAAACGAAGAGCAATAATCTGAGTGTTTATGAGTCGGAATGTGTGGCGAATTTGCTTGGAAATTCACTCTCAAACAAGACCCCGCCAAAATTTCCTGCCCGCTGCGGGACTGATAAGATCTTATCATCACGTGAATTGTCATTGACCAATAAAAAGTTTAAGTGCAGCGCCACAGCAGCCACAATCCTTTCGCCTGTGTCGCATACGCTAGTAGGGGCTGGCAAAACATCCCATGTCATCGACAAATGTCACATCTTCAACGCCACCTACGCTGCAGCACGTCCATTGCGCTTCGACATGTCGGTTTCGAGAGCTGTTTCCTCGAGATTTATCTGCAGTTCGTGTTTAAAAGCAAGCGCACGTCCGTCGCCAATAATACCAAAGACCAACCGCATACCATCCCGCGCCTCGCCTCTGAAACCTCCACAATGCGCATTCAGCACGAGCCTGTCTCGCGGATCGCAAAAGAACAATCCCTCAACTGAAGACCCTGAATTCGCTTTTCTAAGCAATAATGAAAAACAAGCGACATTGAGGTCCGACTCAAACGACCCTGCGGCAGATTCCATCGACAATCTAGAACAGGCTGCGCCAACGCCTTCCACACAAGATGCTTCTATTCCATGGTATCTCAAACAGCAATCATCCGTACAATTGCCAGTCCAACAACCCGCCGAGATACCTGCGCTTCCACCAAACCCTCCACCTCTCCTCGAAACCCTTCTCGACTACATTTCCGTCACGGCTGGCCTAGATGATCTAGAGCTTCTCGACCTACGGCACCTCGATCCCCCACCAGCGCTTGGTCCCAAGCTAATCATGATCATCGCCACAGCCCGGTCAGAGAAACATTTACACGTAGCGGCAGACAGGTTCTGTCGGTACCTACGGAGAGAGCACGGTTTGAAGGCAAATGCAGCAGGATTGCTCGGCCGGAACGAACTGAAAATCAAGCTGAGACGCAAGGCAAAACGGATGCGCATGTTGGCGAATGTTGGCGGAGCAATACCAGAAGGCAATATTGACGACGGTATTCGCACGGGCTGGATCTGTTGTACGTTGGGCAAACTAGAAGCACATCCAGAAGATACACATATGCCAGGCGATAATGTACAAGAGTTTGTCGGGTTCCGGGATGTCAAGCCAGGTGTTAATGTGGTGGTGCAAATGTTTACCGAAGAGAAGAGAGCGGAAACGGATTTGGAGACTTTGTGGGGTGGAGTGGTGAGAACGCATCAGAGGAAGATTAAGTCAGCTGACGAGGCGCTGAAAGAGTTGGAAGATGATATCGAGGATCTTGAGGAAGAGGATGGGGAGGATATTGAGTATGAAGCCCGTCATACACCGCGTGGAGTGAACAAGCAGCCTACTGAGACGAGTCGGCCTGCTAGTCCTCCAACCCCAGCGCGGCAGATGCATAGACCGCGGCCCACCGCTGGGGATGTCTTCCCACCGGCTTCAGCTCCCGAAACCCGGAAGCAAATACGTAGGTTGCACACTGTCGGCTTGTAGCAACACCAAACCTAAGGAGAACTCGAGCATAGAAATAACATTAGATTCCGTAAGCCGTGGCATCTGCCCAACTGTACCGTAGTCCAATTACCTGTAACACTATCATATAAACAACAAAAGGGAGAGGAGTACCATATCCTACTCACCCTATTTCCCTTTCTAGTAACCCATAACCATTTCCGCCTCCGTTTTAGAAAATCCTCCCAACAACAAACGCTTCAAAGACCACATTCTCCAACACTTTCCTCTCCACCACACCGCCATAGCCATAACACCGTACCGCACCGACCAACTTCTCCTTGAGCATCTCCCACCTGCCCACCTCCAACCCGCTAAACGCCGCATGCTGCCTGACATACTCCCAGGCTTGGACAGGCGTCACCTCGCCATCTGCAAGTGGGACGTTGGACGATATGCTGAGCAAATGCGAGAGCGAGGAGCGGGGTGCGCGCCACGGAGTTTGCGAGTGCTGGCGGTGGCCTGGCGGGGAGGGGTGGGTGTGGAGGAGGCAGGCGGAGAGAGTGAGGGCGTGGCCGGTTGTTGTGGGGAGACTGGATGTACGGGGGTGGTGCGGGGTCGGAACGGGGGAGATGTCGGTGTGGGAGAGGCAGGGGGATTCGAGGGTGAGGACAAAGTCCATGCCGATGATTTCGGGGTCTAGGGCGCCAAGGTGGGTGGATGGGGGTGGTGTGGGGGTTGGGGAGGAGGGCGAGTGCCATGAGGATTTGGAGGAAGGGGGGGATATTGGTTGGGAGAAGTTTGTGATGGGTTTGTGGGGTTGTGTGACGGAGATTTGTTTTCGCCAGCTTCCCTTTTTTGCGATGCTGTTTTCTTGGAAGACGGTGAGACTTATGGTCTCGTCTATTGCTTCGGTTACTGTGGGTAGCGGGAAATCTTGTTGTGTCAAGCCCTTTTTTAGGACACTATTTTCGGCATAGAGTGTTTTGATTTTTGACTCGAGGCGTGCTTCTTTGGCACGAAGGCGAACAATTTCGCTTTCTAGAGATGCGATGTATGTTTCCTTTCGCTCGCGGTGGGTTCTAAGTGTCATGTTAAATTAAAGGAGTCCAGAGAAACAACATCGCATGTTGTTGGTAGCAAACATGCAGAACATGCCGCAGGAGAAATGAGAACGTTTAGAAACATACTTTTGTGCCCTGCGAACTTGCTCTCGTCGTTTTTGTACTGGATTCCGAGATTCTGTGGGATCTGCCTTGGGTGTCAGACGATAAGGCTGTGGTATACCACTTTACTTTTTTTCGGCCCGCATGAACAGGTAAAAGCGGGGAACATACCATCCATAGGAGCCGTCCTGTCGCCCTTGAAAGGCTTAAATGCAAATCTCCTCATCTGGTGATGTACAAGTCGATGTTTCGTCCAGCAACAATATGAAAGCAACGAGAAAAACAGGTCGAAAAGACCGTAAGCAGCTTCAAAAAAGAAGTGTTCCCTTGTTGAACCTTGGAAAAGGAATGTGATTTGTTAATCTTGCAACAATCAGAACGACCCGAGGATGATAGACGCCGCCCGTTCAGCACTGGCGCTAAGGGGTGGATGGGTTCTCGACCCCTTCGTTAATGCGTTATATGTGAACCCAAACCCTCCTGCACCCAGTCTCCAATCCCGTCGCAATGCCATCTTACCAAACGTAATTGGTCGGAAGAGAAAAATTGCTGAAGCAGATGTCGCATTGGCGACCGACCGCCCTCCCGCCCCCTTCTCCATTCCCCACTCCCTACTCCAGCTACAGCTCCACAACCTTCTACTTGCAGTACCCGAGCGCCGAGATTTGGATGGTTTGCGCATTGGTTGCAACAGGTAGTCTTGGTCCTAGATTCAAAATTACGCCTTTGGGAAAGGATTGGCGTGGCATTTTTCGCTTAGTGCTCTGATACAGGCACTGTTTCGTCTTCACCGCATGTCCGGTCCCGCTCGTACGGATCCGTCAAAAACTGTTAGGCATTATGTGTCAAGGCATCGGGCATCCTTGATTTGTTCGCGTGCATATGAAGCGTGTCGTAGCTAACGAGTGGCTGAGGGACTAGACATCTTCAATGTATATGATTTGCTTTGTCCCAGAGCCATTTGTGTAAAATGTTGCATCATGCCGATTGGGAAACTAGCGATATATTAACTGCTAAGAGACTGGTAAATGATGTAGACATCTATTCAATGGACGACTCGTAAAGGTGGTGCAAATACTGTTTGTGCAAAGGAAGTACGGGGCTCGACCAAAGGCACGGTTGTGATATTTGTATCAGCAGCTATACTCGTGTATCCTTCTTCCCATTTGATTACGGTTGTTTTGCTCGAGATTTTTGTCTTTATGATGAGTTCGGCTCGGCAAGCATCTGTTGAGGGTGTTGGTGATGTCTGGACCGCAGGTGACTCTGGTTATGTGCTCAGCCTAGGCAACGGAACAACGAACGCTATGGTCACGGTATTCAACATTTCCGGAGGAAAGACGCCAGTGAGTCAGGCGCAACGTTTCGACTGAAGCAGTAGAAATATGGGTAAGAACGCCAAGGTTATGGCTGCCACGTTGTCAGAGGTCTTGGGTACTTGGCTGGGTTGCAGCCTGAATTCTGCGTTGAGGTGATAGTGTCAGGCATATTTTCTTTCGCCCTGGTTTCGAACAGAGAAGTGGACTGGTTATGTTTTAATACCCTATGACTCCTTTTGAGATCTCAATACGAGATCAGACTGCGCCACATTACGCAGTCGTGGTTCTGACCGGTGTTAGTCACCAACGCACGTTCAAGTTTCGCACTGTCTTGTCGACCCCGGGAGGCCCATGGCCAAGTCGCTACGACAAGTTTCAAGTCTCGAACACTTGTCATTCTCGAGTGTCAAATCTTGCAGGCGATGGACACTGACACACGTTTGATGTTTTCCTCAGGCCAATGTTATTGAGTTAGTTTGTGCTGATATCTACTGTTCATGGTCTCCAGTCGAGGGTTATGACCGCTATTATTGAGTCGAGTGGACTTAGCCATTAGTGCAAAGTGTTGGCCATGGCTAATGCATAGTACATGGGGACATCAAAGCTTAGCAGGATAAGCATAGACAAAACGCAGCAGTTCGGTGGGGTTGGATACGATGCTGCGCCACAAGGGTTTAATTGTGGCGGCGTTACTTGACAGGAGCCGGTGAAGGGGTGCGTCAAGCACAGCATCCGGGTTGGTCCAACGCTATCGTTTCGGGAGGTGAGACTGAATGGATGCCGTGATGACACCGAGGTCTACCATAACATGGCTGTGGCACATGTTGGGGCTGATGCTTAAGCCAGAATCAACCAGATACATGTAGGGCTGAGAGCGATGATGTTCCAGTTTGTGCTGTTGGAGTCACGATGGCAAGCGATGCAGTGTTTTGACAAACTGCAGAGAGCCGGAAATAAGACGACGGAACACGACAAAGGGCGGGTGCTATTAGGGGCGTGAGCGAAGACATGGGTCGGTGCTTGAGAGGAGTGGACTAGTGCGTTTGTGAGTAGTAGATTGGTTGTATACGCGTAGTGTGTAGGCGCGCGGCCACGCTAAACGGCCTTAGATGCGGCAGAAAGTGGCGCACCTTCGGGAGGCCGGATGCTGGCCTGACGGCCGGGCGTAAACTCGGTGCCACAGCCTTCCATGGGTGATGAGAAGAATGGGAGAGACAGGCTGTGCCATGATGAACGAAGGGTACATACATGTAGTAGAATTGCACTCGTGAATTACACTCGTGGCAGCTCGCAGCAGCGTCGCCAGGCAGAATCCGGGGAAGCCCACCGGACCAAGCCACAGGTCACAAAGCTTAGCCTGGGATCAGTGGAGAGAAGTGGGCCAGCAGCACAGCCCCACTCACCCACCACCAACATCATCACTATCCTATTACGTCGTCGTCCCCTCGGCCCGGCCAGCGCGATTAAGGTGATTAGAATAGCACACTCGTCCGTACCCAGTACCTGCAGCCCCGTGCCGTAAAACCTGCTCCTACAGCGACACGCGTCCCTGGCATATGAAAACACCCCTCGCCCCCGACCTCTCCACTAGGTAGTCAGTCTTTCCACCAGCCGTCCGTGTCTTTGTTCACCACGACTGCACACAAACACCTACATACAACAAGGCTTTCGCGCCCTGGTGCACTCGTTAATAATTTCTCACACTCGTTACCCACGCCCACTGCAACGGTCATGTGGAAGAGCGTGCTCCAAGCTGCAGCGGTGGCGCTTGCTGCCAGTGGCGTTCAAGCTGCCAGCTACGACGACATTCCCGACATTGAGGTCTTTGGCCAGCACTTTTTCTACACAAACAATGGCTCGCAGTTGTAAGTCGTGCTTCACTCGCATTCGCATACTACGTCACACTGACACATCTCGCAGCTTCATGAAGGGCGTTGCCTATCAGCAAAACTACAACCCCAACGGCTCCACCAGCGCCAATACTACCTACACGGACCCTCTCGCAGACGGCGATGCCTGCCGACGAGACATTCCCTACCTGAAGCAGCTCTTCACCAATGTCATCCGTGTCTATGCCATTGACCCCACCCAGAACCACGACGACTGCATGGCGCAGCTGGCTAGCGCTGACATCTACGTCGTCTCGGACCTGGGCGAGCCCTCTACCTCGATTCGTTCAAACGACCCAGAGTGGGATGTTACTCTTTACACCAGATACACAGGCGTCATTGACTCGCTGAGCAAGTACAAGAACGTTATTGGCTTCTTCGCCGGCAACGAGAACGTCAGTTCAGACAATCAGACGGCTGCTGCTGCTTTTGTCAAGGCTGCTGTCCGTGACACAAAGACGTACATCCAGAACCAAAACTACCGCAAGACCCTCGGTGTGGGCTATGCTACTGCTGATGTACCCTCCCGCGACGAGCTCGCTCATTACTTTGCCTGCCAGCCCGGCGACTCAGGCAACAAGACCTCCATTGACTTTTGGGGCTACAACGTCTACTCCTGGTGCGGCGACAGCAGCTACACAGCCTCCTCCTATGACGAGCGCGTGAAGTTCTTCTCCGACTACCCCGTTCCCGTCTTCTTCGCCGAATACGGCTGTATCGAGGGCCTCCCCGGGGGTCCCACAAGCCGTCCCTTCACCGAAGTCCCCGTCCTCTACGGCAACATGACGAGCGTCTTCTCAGGTGGCATAGTCTACGAATGGTTCATGGGCGCCAACGACTACGGCCTCGTCGAGCTGACCGACAACGGCGCCAGCGTCTCACCTTACCCAGACTTCACTTCTCTCCGCAACCAACTGGCCTCCGTCACACCCTCCCCCACCCAACGCTCAGACTACAAGCCCACAAACACCGCCCCAGCCTGTCCCTCCATCGGCGGCACTTGGCTCGCCGAGGCCTCACCCTTGCCTCCAACAGTCAATCCCCAACTCTGCTCCTGCATGCTCAACAGCCTCCAGTGCACCTACACCTCCAACGACCAAGACGCCTACTCCAACGACTTCAACTACATCTGCGGCGCAAACCAAAAGTACTGCGAAGGCATCGCCCGCAATGCTACCACTGGAGACTACGGCTCGTACTCGGGCTGCGATCCCAAGGACCAACTCGCGTTTGTGGCGAACCAGTATTATCTCGCCCAGAATAATAACCCCGATGCGTGCTCCTTTTCCGGGAGGGCCAAGACGCAGTCGGCGACTACCGCGAGTGTCTGTACGCCCTTGCTGAGTGCGGCGGGCGTGGATGGCCAGGGTTCTGTGCCGACAGCTACGGGTAAGGTCACGGCGGGCGTTAGCGGTGGTGGTGCGGTGAAGAGTTCCGGGTCGCCTGGTGCGGCAGCGCCGGGAGTGAATGCGCCGGGCTTCTTTGCCCATGGCAAGTTGGCCATGGGCGTTTATGCTGGCTTTGCGGCCTTTAGTTTCTTTGGCATGCTGGTGCTGTGAGTGTTAATCGTGGATGGTCACACAACCTCCCTTCCTCTCTCTACCTCCTTTTTCTTTTTTCTTTTCTTGATTGTATTCTGGGGGTGAAGAGAGAAAATATTGTGGAGGATCCCCTCTTTTTTTTTCCTTTGTCTATGGGAAATCACAAGGGCTTAGAGGAGTATTGTAATAGCAGTAGTATATCCAAGTTTCACATCTCATGTCTCTTGAGTGTTCTCTTCTTCTTGTTGTGTGCAATCTGCTAGTTGATTCAATTACGATTACCTACCCCCCACCACTTTTTTTTAACTCTCAATATCATCCCTTCTCCGATCAAACTAACAGATACAGAATCTCAGTTACCTAATCAGAACAGAAACCTCCATAATAGTCCTGCTATTATAGCCCAAGAAACGATATCCACAGATGGGCCCCCAATCCAACAAAGAACAGACGCCTCGTCCTTTCACTGGCTCTCTCATGCTCATGTACCCCAAGGAAAAAATTCGTGCTGCTTACGGTACTTGACAGTAGTAGGATGTGTTTTCCCCCATCGCGGCAGTATATCCAGTCAGTGCCCTACGGAACATGGGTAAAGCTTCAACCAGGCGCTTCTGTTCCGCAAGACAAAGCGCAAAAGCTGTACACAGTGTGCAGCGTTTCCAGATGCTCGGGTGCGAGCAGAATTTTCTCGCAGCTCCAATGTCCGCTCTGTTACCCATTCCTTGTTCAATGTACCTTTCCATTTGACAATACACGGTGGCTAGTTTGTCGCTACTTTTGTAGCACGTCTGGATGCTCGGGTCCGAGCAGCTTTTCTTGAAGCACAACCATCCGGTACCTGATGATTTCTGTCTCGTTGTATTTTTTTTTCTGCTTGTACAACGCGGTGGTCATGTTATCCATAGCTTCCAGAGTGTCTGGATGCTCGCGTCCCAGCAAATTCACTCGCCGCTCAAGCGTCTGCTGGTATATTGTTTCGGCTTCATCGTATTCTTCCTGTGCATACAACGAATCCGCCAGGTTGTACATGATTGCTATTGTGTCTGGATGCTCGGGTCCGAGGAGATTTTCTCGATGCTTAAGAACTTACCGGTGTATTATCTCGGCTTCGGTGTATTTTCCCTGTTGTTGAAGGATTCTTGCCTTGTTGTTCATGGCGGCCAGGGTAAAGCAGTGGGTAGGTCCTAGTATTTTTTTTACTTTTGTCGAGTATTTGCTGGTACATTGCCTCGGCCTCTGTGTATTGATCCTTGCGAGACAGCACCAGGGCCACGTTTTCCATACTTATTAGTGTGTTTGGATGCTCGGGCCCAAATAGCTTTTCGGTAATCGCCAGCCCTTGGGTATGTAATATCTCAGTCTCTTTGTGTCTTCTTTGCCTCTCTAGTACCAGAGCGAAGTTGTTCATAATTTCCAGTGTCTGTGGATGCTAAGGCCCTAGCAGCTTCTGGCACTGTACTAGTGTCTGCTGGCTCAACGCCTCAGCTTGGTTGAGGTTGCCTTGATTATACAGCACTGTCGACAGTTCGCCCACGGTTGCCAGAGTATCTCCATTATCAGGCCCTTGTACCCTTTCACGTATCGCTAGCTCTTCCCTACGGATCGCTTCGGCTTCATTGTATTTCCCCAACCCATTCAGGGCAGACGCCAAGCAGCTCATAGTACTCAAGGTCTCTAGATGCTCAGAGCATAGCAATTTTTTTCTCAGCAATAATGCTGTTTGTTGTGTTGTCGCTGCTAGTCTGTATAGCCCCAGGGTTTCTTGACACTGGCCGACTCGTGTTAGCAGTGAAGCTCTCCTTAAGTCGTCTACGAGGCCAACGAGCCCAGCCAAGTACAGTGCATGCGGAAGATACACGCTCCATCTTTCTCTACTTTCGAAATCGCCATACGGCACAAGTTCCTGAGCTCGAACTGCTGCTATGCCTGCCCACTTCTCCCGCTTTCCATGTCCCTCGAGCCACCATATCAACGCCATATGTACCAGCCGATGCATATCAAAAAGCCTCTCCGTGCTAGATCCTGGCACGGCCTGTCTTCGCTCTGTGATGAATGCATATCCAGTCAATGTTCCAATTGCTTTTGTTTGCTGCACAGCCGATCCTCCTGGTGGCAATAACGACTGAGGAATGTTAACGTGATTAATGTATTCTACAAATGAAAGGTACTCCGCCGTAAGAGTCTTGCCTCTGGATTTGCTCGAAAGAGATATGCCACGTCTTTGCGACAGTGCTGTCTATGTCTTGGTATCTACTAGGGTCTTCGAAGTGCTCGCTAAAGAGCTTAACCTTGGTGCTAGCATGCTGGAGTAGTGATGTGTATTTAGAAACTGATATTTCGTTCTGGTTGATGAAATTAGCAGCCTGAATAATAGCTAGCGGCAGGCCTGTAAGTACCTCTAAAAGGGCATTAACAGCTGTACCGTCGATTAATAGTGCTTGGTTGTTGATTCGGTGAACAAATAGCTGCCGAGCTTTAAATCTGTCTGTGTCGTTTAACTCGAGGACGTTATTTGGGGTTAGATCTGTTGCTGCTTTTCTGCTGCGAGTAGTGAAGAGCACGGATCCTCCCGTACTGCAAGGAACATAGTCAATCAATCGAGTTGATTTGATTGTCTTGTTGCTAACTCCTAACAAGACCTCCGAGTCATCCGCATTGTCAATTGTCATTAGCCAACTGCCCAAGTTTCCAGAACTTAGTGTATCCCTGACAAGTTGCTTTATATCTGCATTAGCATCATCAATTCCTGGTATGCGAAGCTGGTTTCCAATGTCTCTGTAGGCAAGCTCAAAACTCTCCTGACTTATGGCTGGCACCCAGAAAACGAGGCATCTGGACTGATCCGCACGCGCGCAATACGCAAACTCGAGAGCAAGGGCTGATTTCCCACAGCCCCCGAGTCCATATATCGTCAGCCGTTGATGGGTGCTAGGAGAAAATAACGTTTGTTTCATCGATTGAAGCTGGCTCTCTCGTCCGGCGAAGCGCTCATTTTGTGGAAAAGGTAGTGACAATACGGCTGTAAGTCATCAGCAAAGTTGCCCATGCAGTTCAATGCTACCCAATACAAACCGGAGGAGTCTTGCAAATCCGCCTTCTTGCTCGCTTGTTGCCGTTTTTGTATCTCCTCTTTGAGACGCAAAGCTGCATACTCCTCTCCCTCTCCATAAATGAGCGCCATAAACACTCCAAAGATGCCGAGCAAACAATACACTCTGTCTTCCCTTGATCGTGGTCGTGCGTTTTGCAGACCAGCTCATTCGCTCCTCGATACTAAACTCGGCAAGACTGTGGCCTCTAAACGCCTCGGCGGGTATGCCAGTGACTCTGTTTATCTCTTGCTCTAGCGAAATCTTGTTGCCCAGCCACTTGCAGTCTCTAGAGAAGAACTCAGCACTGGCTGGCGCTAGTAGCTCTCGCAGAGTCCAACCTCGTGAGAACCATCGATTACGTTGAAAGGCTTACTTGCATAATATGTCAGATATCTCAGTGCTAGTGACTACAGAATCTACTCTTAGCATAGCCATCCTTGTCCATGCCCGTTCCCTTCAGTAGCTCATCATAGGTGACTTGTTGGTTTTCGGCCCAAGTATGAGAGAAGATGGCGTATGGAGGGGCGAGGCCGTCATCGAAAGATGTTAGCTCGAAGCCACTGTCTGTTGCCGAAGACTTGAGAAGGCGCATCGTGTTCCAGCGTGTTCTGCCAACAACACCTGCAGGCTTGATAACGGTGAGGAATTCAAGGAGGCAGAGATAGGAGTCGCAGAGCGCGTTGAACGGGCCTCCAACAGGGACCTGATGCCCCCACAAGGCTGCATGGCTGTGGGCTGCCTATTGGGCATGGCAGCAGTCTTGAGGCGTAGTAGCGAATCTGGGCAGGTATCAACTGGCTTGGGGGCCAATTGTAGTAAGAGCTCCCATTTTAAGCCCTTATGAGGCAAGAACATTTAAGCACACTACTGCAAGCTATGCAATGTGTACATACAGACAGCTATATTCGATTCACGGCAAAAACAACACAGCTCAGAATCTTCACACTTGTTTACATTAATACACATACGTGACTTGTGCATGTAGCATACATGTTTCGTTTTCCTCGGGACGCCACGCTATGCTCTACAAGTAAGCCACCAAACCAACCAAACATATACATGACATAGTGGCCGAAAAGATCAATCAATTAATCAATTAATCAATTAATCCAATCACAATGGTAATTGTTGTTTGCTCCGTTACGGTCTCTCTTTTGCTTCAACAATGCGATTTACTGCTTTTGCAAACCAGAACAGGCCTCGCTCCGCGTAACATTTCTTCTCTTAGTGCAATGTGCTGCGTACCGTCTCTTTCATATTGTATGTACTGCACATCGTTTCTTCTACTTCTTAGTACATGTTGGGTGGTCCCGGACGGCCTGGCTGTTGTCGCGGAGGCCCATTGAACTGGCCATCAAACATCATTCTTGGGTCCTCACCACCACGCATACCTGGCATTGGCGGTCCACCATAGCCTGGTGGTGGAAAGTAGCCGGGTGGTCCTTGCATGCCGTTGCCACCAGGTCCTACTGGGCCTCCTGGCCCACCGGGTCCACCTGGGAATCCTAATCCACGAATGTTGCCACCGGGAGGAAATCCAGGAGGATGTCCAAGTGGTGTGTTGCCAGCGGAGAAACTTGGTCCTCCAGGACCCATCTGTGGAGGAGTGGGACCACCAAGACCAGGTGGTTGACGCATGGGACCTCCGAAGCCTGGTGGTGGAGCAATATTTGGTCGCTCTTGGGGTGTGGGCGGCATGCCGGGCTGACCTCGTCCGCCCATATACTGCATATCGGGTGTGGGCTGCGAAGGAATGCCCATGTTGGTAGGCATGCGAGGATCACCTCCTGTGTTACGACGCTGAAGGCCCATGAGAGCATCTTCAGGGCCAGGGAATCCCATGGGCATGCGGGGATTCTTCGAGCGCATAGCCTCTTGTTGTTGCTGCATTTGCTGCAATTGGCGGAGCTCCATTTGCTCACGGCGGTCAGCAGCATCTCGGCGCAACATTTCGCTTTCGTTAAACATGCGAGGATCTTCCATAAATCCTGGGGGAGGACCACCGCGGCCCTTGGGCTGGTGCTGAGCTTGTGGCTGTGGTTGCTGTCTTTGCTGGTCAAAGAAAGCCATACTGGGATTCTCCTGGGCTGGACGAGGCAGGCCGTGACCTTGCGCTTGAGGTGGTGTGCCCCGAGAAGGTTGTTGCATGAGGTTTAACAAAAAGTCACGTTCACGTTGTTTCGTCGCTTGATCACGTTGTGATTCTTCCCTTGCTCGACTATTCAGGAGAGCGGTGAGATTAGCATCTTGAGCGATGGTTCGTGGTGGGGGTGGCTGATGAGGAAAGTGGTCTTCAGGGTGACCGGAACCGGGGCGGGGAAGTCTGAATTGATCAGAGTGTAGGTTCTCTGTTGACATGTTGTTAAAGCGAAGCTGCTGCGACGCACGAGACTCTGGTGCGGCAGGACGAGGAGCTAGGATGTTCTCTAGAATACTCTGCTGCTCAAGAGTTCGTGGTGGTGGTATTCTACCATGTTGTGGGTCTGGCGGAGGAGACTGTTGGTGGAAATCCAAGGAGATGCCACCACCCTGTCTCATGCCATTTGGTGGCGTAGGCATATTTGTTTGTGGAAGTGGGGCTGGCGATGGACCTGTACTGACTTGACCGAGCATCTGAAGAATACGTTGGAAGCCTTCCTTGTCCGCATTTGCTTCCATGGGAGGTGCAGGGGATGCAGAGTCTGGTGCTGGAGGTTGGTTCGGTGCTGCCTGCTGCTCTTCGGGTTTGGCGAACATGGTCATGAACCTCGACTTCTTGTCTGCCCTTGGTTTGGCTGAGATAGTCTCTACAGGTGGCATCTCTGCAGATTTGTCCCTGCCCCAGTTTCCGAAGAGAATACCTTGAGTAGGTTCGCCAGCAGAAGGTGTGTGCAAAGGGGCGGTTAACATAGGGGCCGCAGTGATAGCGCTTGCAGTAGGCGTCTCCGTAGGAGCCTCTCTCGGCTCGTCCTTTTCACCACCTGGCGTGTCCTTGGCCCGCATCTGTTCTTTCCAGCGCTGGAAGTCTTCTTGTGTGCGAGGCTTGAATTCCTTCTTCTCCACCTTGGCGTCCATCCACTCCGGGTCGTCTTCGCCACGAGCCGCACCACCACGGGTCCACTCGCGGCCGTTGTCTCGCTCCCGGTCTCGCTCGCGTTCGCGCCAACCGCCCTGGACGCCGGTCTTTGCTCCCTCATCTCTACCTTCGTCACGACGCCCCCATCGCGGCTCATTTCGATCACGGGTATTACGACGCGGGGCCGCTTCAGCCTCTGGGTCGCCCTCATGCTTATCCCGGTTGCGGTCACCATTGCGGCCGAAGCGCTCAAAGTCTTCCTGGCCCAGGCTCTTGCGACCCTTGACATTGGTCCAGCCTTCGCCATCATCTCGCGGGGCGCGGCGTCCATTGGTGTAGCCCTTGTCTCGGGTCCGATCAGTCTCACGGTCCCGCGTCCATCGGTCGTTCTTTGGGAGGCGATCTCCACCGTTGTCTCCGTCTGTAGATGTGAGGCCGGCACGTTCCTTTGCGTCACCCGCTGCTTTGGCCGGAGTGCGGGCTGAGAGGAAGGCTAGCTTTGGCGGGCCGAGCACAGTCTCTTCGCCGGGTTCTACAAAAAGCGCGTTAATAGCGGCCTTGATGCCCTGGGCATCAGAAGACTTACGCATGCTCTGGCGCCGACCAAACTGGCCCATGGGGTTGTGCAGCGGCCGCGGGTCGTTTGCCGTGGCGCCTTCTCCCTCCCGTGCACCTCGCGTGCGACGCATGGTACCGTTGTTGTTGTTATTGTTGGTATTGGTATTGTTGTTGTTATTGTTGCTTGTGTGGCCATTGTTGGCATTTTGATCGACAGGCACGTCCATCCATTGCGAGATTGACGGCAGGCCATCGGGCTTCTTCACCAGCGGCGACTCTTTCAGAGCCAGCAATTGAGCCTCCGAGTACGACGGCCCCCGCATTGTCGCGACTGAGGACACCGCAGACATGGGGATGGAAGTGGGGCAGGCCGGGACCGACCTGCTGGAGCTCGAGACAGCAGGACGGGATGCAAATTGGGGGGTTTGGAGTGCCGGGCGACGGCGGCAGGGGCAGCTTCAGGGCCGTATGGCTGTGGCTTGCCGTCGACTCGCTTGCAATTGGATGTGATTGAGTCTGTGTGTGTGCGGGCGTGGGCGATGGGTGGTGGGTGATGGTTAGGTGGAAGAGCTGAGAGGCGTGATGCTGAGGGCCGGGGTTTGTGGCGTTCGGTCCAAGCGCGCGTGTGTGTCGCAAGGCTGGAGAGCGAAGTGAATGAGCTCTTGGTGGGATGCAACGTGGTAGGGGAGTAGCGCACACCCTGGGCTGCAGTAGCGGCGACTGAAGCGGAGAGGGATCAGCTCCCGAGTCGTGACTTTGTGCCAAGGGCGGGCGTGGTTGTGGCTCAAAAATGTCTAAGTCGCTCCAAAGTCGCAAATGGCACACAGGGGAAGCGTTGGCGTGCAAATGGTAGCGTGTGTTTGCTATGGCAGTGTGTATTGGGTCGCCAGTGGTGCGGGCCTCTACGACAGAGAGCCCTGCCAAGACCTGGTGTGGAAACACGGTAGGTGCGTCATTCTAGGGTGCACCGCATGTGACTTGGCCGTCACACAGAACTTCAGTCAGCAGTGGGCCTTTTGGGAGTATGCCCAAAAAACAAATTAATAGATGTCATGTATATATCTCTAGGCTTTGGTCAGACGAGCCACCGCCTCGCCCAGACTACCGCTACTCCACGCTGCCACCTTCTCCTGATCGCATGTCTCATAAACACGTGCAGCCAGCATCCTTAGGGCACTCTGTCGAGCGTCATGTCCATCGAGCATCATTTGAACCCAAGCCATCAGTCCGCATCGTGTGATAAGCGTTGTGCTTCCCCCTACATGTGTTGCCCGCAACAAGAGCTTCATAATCTTGTCTTTGGCAGACGCTGAACATGACCGAGACCCATAGTGGCTCAGTAGTTGTTCGAATATGTTGCTCCTCCTAAACAACTCCATGTCTGCCCCTGTCCTCAAACTATCCATCAAGTAGTCCAGGTACCAATCCACCTCCTTGTGATAGGTCGTGTCGTCATCTGGCTGGCTGGCCACAATACGGTGCCAGAAGAAACGCAGTAGAGAGTTGACGTCCCACGCCGGTGAGGCAGTGAGAAATCGGTTGACTGTGCTGAAAAGCGAGTGGGTCGGATCTGCAACAATGCTCGCGCAACGCGCAGCCAATACGCCACCAACGTACGGAAAGGCTTCCCCGCCAGTCTCATCAATAGACTCCAAAAGCTCGCCGAGAAGGAGATAGAGTTGTTGGAGATCAAAGTTGATGCTGCTTCCGGCATCCCCTCCAGAACCGTCTGCTTGACTGCTGAACCTGATCGTTGCTGTCACCTGTCGGATGTTGTTGATGGCCTGCTTGCGGATTTCACCGTGTTCGGAGCAGAGACACAGAATCAACTCTCCAATGTCTCCGTCTTCAACTGCTTCGCTCAGCTCCTTCTTCCTCCAGCGTATCAGACCTGCGTGTTTTTCATCTTCAACTGGGGGTGCCTCCAGATCGACCGCAGATCTCGTCCTACTTTGCTGTTCAGCTTCTTGTACTCGCGCTGCTACTGGTACAGGTGACGTCGACGATCGCTCCGACCCGCTGAAGTCTGCACCAGTTGCCAGCTTCAATGATTCCTTGGCTTTTTCTTTGCCCATCTTCCACAGGAAAGCATCCTTGAGCACCTCCTTGTATGCTGCATTGGCCGATCCAACAAGGGCGTCGCGGACCTGACCCAGCATCCTCTCATCCTCGCCAATGAGTTTGAGAAGATAGAGAAGTCGTGACAGCCATTGTGCAAGAGCATCGGCTGTGTTACTCGTTGCTGTCTCTCCGCCCTTGAACGGCCACTGCTCAACTAGAGTCATCAGCAGGTTGCTAAACGGCCCCATGTCGCTTGCAGGCTGTCCAATACGGCCGCACATGGCATCCATATCGTCAAAGTACTTGATGGGCACCTTGGTGAAACGCGCGCAGCAGTCATCCAAGAACTCGAGTACCTCTGTTGAGGATGCGCTTGATCCTGAAGTTGATCCTAAACTAGCAATGAGTGCGTCAAGCGCATCGGGCGAAGTCTTGGTTTGCAGCATCTCCTGATCCTGCAAGATATCGCTGAGCAGAGATCGGATACCTGCATAGAGCTCGCTCTCCTTTGACGTTACCAGTAGTTTCAAAAGTGTGACAAATGGCGAGTAAGAAAGCGTTTCTGGAATTGTCAGTCGGGCTCACCAACTAACATAACGGGTAAGGTGAAGACCTACTCTGCTTCTGCCACCAGCGCATCGCTGGCGACAACTTTGCCATTTGTATCCAGTGCTCAAGTTCCATGATGCGAAAAACCTTGTCCTCTGGCAATGCAGTCGGCTTCTCAGCCTCCACCAAGGCATTGCACAGAGGCAGCGATACATCAAACTTTTCCTGGAGCGCGACCTGAGGGGTCACCTCGTAGTAAAGTCGCAATAACCTTGTGATTGACTCTCTCTTCATGTCCTTGAGACCGGGTTTCTTAAGCGCCAAAAAGACTGTCCGGATCGCTGGGCAACGTCGACTAACCTCTGATACTAACCGCTTAGATGCCTGCTCCCATTGTTTGGATGATTTCATAGCACTGGCATTGCTGAGTTCTTGAAGGACCCCTCGTAGTTTCTGGAGGGCCACAATCAAGACGCGTATCGCAAACAATTGTACGAGATCTGAGCTGTGGTTGAGACACTTTGTGAGTACTTGCTGGTTCAAAGGCTGGGGCAAGATGCTGTTCATCAGCAGAGGTACTGGAGGAGGATAGTCGCGATAGTTTTTCTTCGCGCCAAAGTATTTTGGAACTGGTAGCTGGATGGTTTGATACAGGAATGCCGAATAGCCGATCCAGGTTGACGTGAGTTTGGGGTCGTAGCTGAAGTCGCGTCGTTTGATAAAATAGTCTGCAATTAACTCAGGGCAAGCTCGGAATATATCCACAACAAGTTCCTGATGCAGGGTGTTTGCATATGGTCTCTGACTTTGAATGAACTCTGACAAGATGATGTTCCGTACTTTTGTTGTCTTGCTGTAACTTCCAACGGTGTCGAGCCCCAGGTCATTGCCGTAATCAGCTGCATCATCCTGTTCATCATCGTTGTCGTCAAATGCCGATGGATAGAACCCCTGCGTAGGCAGCATAACACCATATGCGGGATCGGTACACACTAGGCGTAAGAAGTCATGAGCGAGCTGGTCGGGTGCCTTTTGTCCTTCAGAAAGCGACCCCTCTTCTGGTTCGTAGCTGTATAAACTTGCTATGCGCGAAAGTGTCTTTCCGCTCAAGATCCTGCTCTTGGTTTGCCGTGCAATTGCTTTGTCCTGGAACACATGGCTTCTGAATACATCGAGTATCTCGTATATCAGAAACGGCGGGTCTGTACGGATGTGGTCGAAGACGGTGCGCACAACGTTAGTGTTGGAAAGTATTTCGCTTTTCGCGCGTTCATCCTGGTACCTTAGGTGGGTCAAGAGGTATCGGATTGCCGTGGTTCGGATGCTTGGTTTCTTGACATGGTCGGCCACCGATTGTTCTCTGCTCAGGTTGATATTTCTCCCCAGTATCTTGGGTTCGAGGGTAAAATCTCTTTTTGCATATACAGCCCTCGCATGAGCGCCTTCATTGAATCTTGTGAGCTCGGTAAGCAGACGGAGCGCAGGCGCAATGACGTTCTCTTCCTTGGATGCTGCCGAAGTACTGCGCACGAAACGGCGCGCAATGGATGGTTGTAGGAGTGTTTTTGCCAAAAGTGTGCCGTATTCTAAGAAATCGCCGTGACTAGAAAAGACCTTGAATAAGAGTGCGAGTACAGCGGTGACCTGAGAAACGATTGGACTGTTATTGGTCTCGACTGCATAATCCCATGCTTGGGTAAGATTCTGCAAGAAAGCCTTGTCCTTTTCCTCTCGTCCCTTTCCCTTTTGTGTATCCAGATACTCGCGGAGAATGGCTCGTTTGCGGGGCAGATCGTGCTCGTCGGCCGGGTAAAGGATGGAGTCGAGGAAACGCTTGAACAAGCTCAGGCCTATTTAAGTAAGCTTCTATTAATATCCAGTAAAGATAGCTGTGCTTACCGCTTCGAAAGTTGCCCTGGGAGCTCTGGTCGAAAAAGAGAGCATTCTGGAGGTCGCGCGCAACGGTAACTTCGTCGGCGCTGCCATTTGGCCGTGGTGAATTGCGTTCATAGTGGGTGTCGATTTTCTGGCGTTTGTTCTCGCGGTCAATATGCGCGCTCCTGGCATGGGCGTCATAGGCAGTCCTCTTCCCCATGGCGCAAGTTATGTCGCGTTGCACGCATCGAAAAGTTCGAGCATCTGAATTTCGGCGGGCCTCTGCAGGGATCTTGGTTAGCGCAAAGCCTAAAGCTCGGACCCATGGCCATCTACGCATTGTATGGATTCATCAACAAGTCTAAAACGTCAACAACCTAACATCACCACTACTGGGAAAGACACCTTTTTCCGTTGTTTGATTTTTGTTTTACTATCTATGTAGCCGATTGAAATGAAGGCTACATCCCTCTATTTGCTCCAATTACAAGGACTATATCTAGGCTGCAGTCCAGAAAAAGTGGCTGCAGCGCTTTCTAGCTTGGTATAGGCCCTTCCTATGGGCTTGCTTGATCTTGCGTGATAGGGTGCGATGTTGGTTGATCACAGAATGCCACTATACAAAAAAAGTCGCAGAAGACTCCGAGGATATGCCGATGCTGCGATGCGATGCAAAAGTGACAAGAAAAAAAAAGCGCAATGCAGAAAAAGGTCATGACGGTAGGCCAGCGGCCCTGAACAAAGGAAACCAGAAAACGCCATTGCAAATCTCGGTTTTGTTGTCGCTAAACAAGGATGTCCGGGGTATCATGCAGCGACATAATAAGGAAAAGGAGAACGGAGCGCGCAATGGAGGACAAGAACCATCGAACAGGACCGTTGGTTTTTTTTGTATGTCATCGTTTTAGAGGCCTGTGGTACTTTGATCCTGAGCTTATGGAGTTGTTCTTCTCACGGATCTGTATCGTCGGGACTGGTTCTTGGTTGTTCTTGGCCGATAAGGCTGCAGAAATGGCGAGGGTGACAAGCGTGAGGACCTCTGCACAAGCAGCACCGATGGCGGTGTAGAATGCGACCCCCTGCATACTATATTAGCAAATGCTATGGGCAGCGGCTGACGAGGGCATAGTCTTACCTGCTCCTCGCAAACAGCGCGATACTGGTATCGCCCATTCGTCAACAAGTTCTTATTTGTGCACGAGTATCGACCCAAGCTAGCCTTGCTCGCCTTGTTGAGCAAGTAGAATACCACCAGCGCTGTGATCCAGGTGATGACGCCGAAGCTGCCAGCAACGACACGATAGACGTCTCGTGAGCGAAAGGGGCGGCGGAAGGAGCGCTTGAAGGAGAGGGTGAGGATGGCGACCGAGGCGAGGAAGTTTGCGGCGGCAATGCAGAAGAGCACGATGCTCGGGGCGAGATTTGTGTGGGCGGGCCAGACCATGGGCAACTCGCCCTTGCGCAGGTCGATGTAGCGGTTGCCTCGATAAATCTCAAACGTGTGCATCAACATGCAGACGACGGCGCCGCTCAGGACGATGATGAGCAGGCGGAGACATGAGCGCACTCGGCTGAGCCAATGCGCCCGCGAGGAGATGGCAAGCTCGAGAGGCATTGGCAGCCTGGAGAAAGGGTATGGGGCGGAATCCTTGGGCTTGGGGAAGGCGAAGGCGGGCGTGGAGCGGGCGGGGAGGTTGTATGGCTTAGGCGGGGGCGGCGAGGGGGTGGGCAGAGTGGTGATGTCCTGGTTGGAGCCAACTAAGCACGTCGTCGTGGTTGTCGTGGAGTCGAGTAACGCGACGTAAGCCCTGGCCATGGCCATGGGATGGTGGGCTATGGCGAGCACTGGCGGCGCGGAGCCTCGAGGTGCTGGGGTCGCGGTCGAGGGTTGCCGCAATGGATCGAGGAGAGCGTCGCAGCTGGCGCAGAGGACATGTGAGGTAGTTGGTAGCAGCAGCGGCAGCGGCAGCGGCAGCAGCACAAGGAGTTGCGGTGGGCGCAGCGGGATGAATATGGGCGCGCCCCGTCAAGGGGGGTGGGTGCACAATCCAGCCAGTAGGCCGGCCTAACAAGGCTGTGTCCGAGCTTGGTGAATTCCTCCGCTGATCGACCTGACGTCGAGACTCTGCATGCGCCAGACGCGCTGCACATGGAGCAGCGGGTTTTCTTTGTATCCTCCGGGCGAAGCATGCGTGCGCTGGGTTGTGCGGTTGGGCATGGAGCAATTTGCTTCTGCGGCGCCAGCCTGTTTCTGCTTGCGCATCGTCGACTTTGCATTTGCTGGCCCTGAGGCACCGCCACGCTACCTGCCCCAGACAAGGCGCGACATGCACTGCCCAAAACAGCGTCCAAGAAGACACGGGTAGCTACGCCAGCGCCGTCTCTGCTATTGGGCCCGTGTTTCTAGACCTGGACCCATGGCGCGGATTAAATCTCCGCTAGGCTGTGGTATACGCCGTCGTTGCAGCAGCCGTCCATACGCATACGTATGTGGTGTGGCGGCAACAAGACAAGACGACTCCGCCGCAGAACCGCCGCCCGCCGATGGCCTGGAAGACTTGTCTTCCGTTTCCGAGTATACCTACTAGATGCGACTCCCCATGTTCAGAGTGCCTCAAGGCGTCATGCTGATATCACGCATTCGTCCGGGATTCATCTTATTCAACATAAGACGCGCGTCCGTTAAAATAAGCATCCAATGGCAGGCCCAGCCATGTCAGGGGGGTGCGGCCCGCTTGGCATTGGCGCAGCCCAGCTGAGCTGCACCAGCCACTCTCCCCGTTGCGAACACCATCATGCATTGTCGCTGCCGGATGTTGGCGGACCCCACGTGTGCAGTAGATTGGTGACTGCTTGGTATCATGTACTTGGTAGCTCCGTCTGCCTGGCTGTACGAGCCTGTCCATAAGTATGTCTGGTACGCAGGGTCGCACTTTATCTGAAAAGCACCGCATCCCCCATCTTACTAGCTCGACCCTGCCAGGCCATGCCATCTCTCTCTCTCTCTCTCCGTCCCCGCACCGCCACACGCCCTACGCCCACCAGCCAAGCTCGACGTTGTCTGCTGATGCCATTCTTCACGAATCCATGCCGTTGAGTACCAGCTTCCGCATCCTACACCGTGGCATCGCCAAAGCAGTTAGACGCACATGCGGGGTTCATATCAAAATATCGAAAAGCCCTTGTACCAGTGTCGTCACGCTGCAGGTCCAGCAGCCGATTGGCCGGCAATGGGAGCTATCCGCATGCGACCACTTCTGTTTTTTTCCTTTTCACGTGGGATCCTAATAGGCAACTCTAACTAGCGTCCGTCTGGTTTCGAGGCTCCTTCTCCACACATTGTCCGAACATGCTTTCAAATCCTGCCCGAGTCCCAGCCAAATCCTGTTTTTCTCTGGTCCACGTCTCCACCATGCCTGCTTCACCCACGCTTTGCATCACGGCGTCCAGCATCGCGACGGTTTCTTGGACCTGCACCTTGACCGCTTCAATAGGCTGACCACCAGGCTGTTCTTCCTCTTCCAAGCATGTTGTCCACAATAAGCACAGGCCCATCATAATCGCACCGCGATGACCAGGCAATCTTGGCCAAGCATTTGACATGACACTCTGCAATGCTCTTAGAGTTGAAGTAACTAGTGGCTGGTGGGCAAGCACAAAAGGTTCCTGTAGAATCGCCGAAACCAAAGGCAAAATATCCGGTAGGTGCTTGACTGTATTGATGCCCATATGATTCAGCACAATGGGGACCTGTGACATGATCAAAGTAGCAAGCTCAGGGTACGAAGAGGGTGTAGTGAAATGCCCGAGAGGCGATAAAATGCCTTCTCGAAGGATCCTGTCTAAGAACACCTCTCTGTTATCGCCTTTGCTGTTTTCTTCGGGGAGGAGCAAAGCAAGCGAAGTCACCGCAGGGAAGACCTCTCGGAACAATATCACCGATTGCTTCTCTGGTGTTATCGAAGGAATGTACGTGAACATGGGCAGCAGAGCTTCGGCAAAAATGTTATGGTATCCACTTCGCTGGAGGAAGCTCGTCGAGCTAGAATTTTGCATGGTAGCCTTTTGTGAGCTACCACTACTTGGTGTTTGGCGCAAAACTTCGAGTAATAGACCGAGCAGGTGACAGCCTTTGGCCTTCCATTCCACGCCAATGTCATCCATCATCTTAAGGATTGGAGGCATCAAAAACTGCCATTTGGCCTCGATTGTCTTCCTATCCAGCGTCCGGATTGTCCATGCCAACAAGTCGAGCGCGTACTGATTTCCAGCATCTTTCCACGGAGCCGGTTGCCGCGAGGCTTCTAATGCATTCGATGTAGGTTTATTCTGCGGAAAGAGAGGTGGGATGGTAAGTTGAAGAAAGTGTGAGGCTAGGCGAAGGGGAAGCTCACTTTCGTTTTGCTCGCTTCTCGAAGCCTTGACGGCCTCGATAGCCTCCGCCGTGTCGGTAGTGTTGGGGTTGCGTAGCTGCCAGGCCATGACAACATCCAATGCTTCTTTCATCCACGGCCCAGGCTTAGTGTTGAGTGCTTTTGCGAGATCGGTTCCTTTGATGAGGGGCCTAAAGGTATCGGCCTCGAGGAGATTGAGTTCGGTAACGCGACCGAGGAAGCTGGCATACGAGCGGAAGAGGTCTAGATACTGTTAGTATAGTTTAAATCGAAGACTGAAGTGGACTAGCTCACCTGTTCTCGATACCCGTCCGAGCACGACCTCGTAGACAAGGTTGAAAAGTACTTGTGTCCGCCAAGTAGACCCCCAACGCCGAATGGCCATTCCTAGAGTATCTCTAGCAGTGGGGTCGCTGGTTGAGTTGATGGTATCGGGCCGTCGAAGTCCTTTTGCACACTGAGCAATTAGATTGCGAATCTCCTCACCGTTACTCAGCGACGAAGCAATGACATCGCACACCTTGTTTGGGGCTTTGAATCCTTCCCTTGCAACAAGATAAGCGACAAAATATGGCCGCTGCAGAGGCTTCTGATGGGGCACAGTGGGTGCATCTGCCCAAGGCATCATGGTAGCACAGACCCAGGCTAGGTACTTGTCGTCCTCATTCCTCAACAGAGTATCTGGGAAAACTGTAGGCACGTCGCCACTTTTTGTCACCACCGATTCGACCACCTCATATGCCAGCTTGAAGTAGGCTGTCTCCGGCTCCGTAGGCAATTCACGTGTTGGGTCTGTAAAGACAGTGCGGTACAGACCAAACCGGTCAATAAGCTCCAAGGCCAATCGAGGTCTAGGGCCCTTTAACATCTTCTCCAATTCTATACCCACACGCTCTCGGCTGATTTTGATTTTCAGAACCTCCTGGATTTCGGTGTTCCCCATGGCCTTCGCAGTCTCAGGCTCGATGGTGTAGTCAAGACGGCTAGCAAAACGAATCAGCCGCAAAACTCGCAGTGGATCGTCTTTGAATGTCTGGTAAGGTTCCAGTGGTGTTCGAATAATCTTGGCAGCCATATCGGCATGCCCACGTCCTGTGAAGTCTTCGACTTGACATGTATGCAGGTTGAAGAACATGGCATTCACAGTAGCATCGCGGCGCATAGCATCTTCTTCTGCAGTACCAAACTCCATCTGGGGATTGCGAGAGACTTCGTTGTAGGTTTCTTTCCGGAGATTGACAAGATCTAGGTCAATACCCATGATTTTCGTGGTAGCAGTCTCTAGGTTTTTAGACTTTTCCGGGTTTGCCTCAATCTTGTGAAGACCTGGTGCAATCTTCTTCGTCTTGTCGCGTGCACTCAGCCCATCGCTCTTTTCGATAAGACCATGCTTTTCTGCATTGCCTGGGATTTCAAGGTACTCTTGCATCTTCAGACCAAAGTGCTCGCCGGTCATTTTGTTGATGGCTACATCGATGTCGTGGCTGCCGACGTTGAGCAGTTTGTCACGCACCCATCCTCCCGTCCATCGTAGAGTAATCTTTTCTTTTGCAAGTTCTGCTGGTACCTGTACTCCACTGATATCTTCTTTTGAAGGGGTTTCGTCGATGTAGGCAGCTACATCCAGCAGCAGCTGCCGCAACTTGGATTCGACCTCTGTCAGCTCTAGCTGCGGCGACTCGGCGCCCTCTGATGAAGTCATGGTTCCGTAGGGGCGGATGAATTTTGGTGAAGGTGCAGCAATTTTGCGTCTTTTGGGGCTCGGCTGTTGTGATTCAGGCGAGGGGCTTGCTCTCGACATGCGAGGTATTGATGTGGTGAGAGAATATAGAGCTCTGTGTGTGAGATGTGTTGTCAAATGAGGGCGTGTAGGTGACGCAGGGAAGTCACGTTTGTATGGCCGTGAAAACGTTGGTGGTGAACGAATCCGGCAGGCTCGATTTATCAACGACATGCATATGAGTCAGGATGGAACGGTCGATGTTTGTGCGCGAGCAAAGCACTACGATGAGTGGAAAGAAGAGCGTAAGAGGATTGGAGATGGCAAAATAGGCTTTGCAAATTGTTGCAGAGCCGCAGCGTTGGAACTGGTGGACAAATGCGAGTGATGCTGGAGATGCCGCAATTCGTCCAGTCACAAAGCGCAGCGGCCGCAACGGCGATCCAGCATCACCCCCAACGTCGTCACACACGCGCCGCTCCAAACCAAATAGCGAATTCGACTACTGACGGCTCGCTGTCGCCTCAAGCTCGTCGACGATAATCAGGATACATGCCGGCAGCCTCAGAAGTCCCGCGTACATTCAGAACCCCGCGGGCGCATCGCCCTAGCCTCCCATGACGCCGCCTCAAGATGCCACGCCGAAACCCCCAAAGTACCCAGCCGACCCGGAGGCTTCCATGATACTGCCCAAACACCGCGCCTCGCCTGTATCCTCTCTCTCCAGCCTCCCCTACCGCCGCTCCAACCCCAGCCTGTCCAAGCTCTTCGAGTCAACAACCACAATCTCCACGTCGCGCCCCAATTCTGGTGCCGCAACGCCTACTCCGAGTCACCCTCAGGGCTCCGTCTTCTCCCCGGGATCGCGGCTCAGCGGCACAGGCACGCCGAGCAGCCTACCGCCAGGCGTGTCAGATGAGTACCGGATGCTGATCCAGAGGGCCTTTGTGCCATGTGTCGCTGTCCTTGCGGATGCGCAGACGGAGGACCTGATACAGTCAAAGGGGCTGGAGGGGGGCCTGTTGCAGTTGCTACGACCATTCGGGGAATCGGTACCCGGTAAGGTAACCATAAGAGATAGTAACGGGGCAAGCAAGAGCTGGGAGGACTTTGGTGTGCGCTTCATTGGCGTCGACGATGCATATCCAGACCTGCGTGTTGGGACCGGCGGGCAGAGAACACCGTCAGGCCCCGCACCACGAGTGAGGCGCTCAGGGGGTGATGTCTCACAGATTGAAGAGCTGGTAGATCGCCATCTGCAATACTCTGAATTCAATAGGCAAGATGCTGTGTCCGACTTCATGAACCAGGGCGAGGCGTCAGGACCACCCATAGATAGTACATCATCGCCTTTCTACACGCTTTACCTACGGCGATTACTATCAGGACTGCCAGTCGTACCGCATGAGACCTTTTCGCATCCTGTGGCAGGTATAATAGCAATCAGTTCGCGCAACCCACATCCGATAGAAGAGCTACGGAGACTGTACAACCGGCAGCACGATGGAGACCTCCGGTTTCCGCAATGGGTGGAAAACGACTTTTTACGCTACTACGTTTTAATACACGACGAAGAAACTGGAGACATTGCAAAGTCGAACCAGACTTTTGATTCGATGAAGCGACATTTTGGACTACACTGCCATTTACTGCGGCTCAAGAGCCAGCAGTGCATAGCGTCAGACGACGATAGCGTACGCTTGCCGACTTGCGAGTGGATGTCTGCTTCGGAAGAACTGGCGGAGATTCAAAAAAGAGGTAAGCACGAGATGGTTTGTCACAGCCAGTTGTAACCATGTACTGATAGTTTGCTGCAGAAACCACAGACGACATCACAGACCCAACACCCTACTTTCCCGAGTCTGATATCAGTAGTCTCCGTACCTTTATCCGCGAATTAGTCACGCAGTCAATAATACCCAACATGGAGCGCAGCGTCGCCACCTGGAACGAGCAAATCCTGTCCCGACGCCGCGGTCTCTCAGGCCGCTTCATGTCTCTCTCCAAACGCTGGACGCCCTTTGGCGGCTCACGCACCAGCGGCTCATCATCAGCAACATCTGGAAACTCAAACTACGACAGCCTCCAAGGCTTCTACCGCCCAGACGCTCCCGAAGCCATCATGCGGCGTCTAGCAGACTACTGCTTCATGCTGCGAGACTGGAAGCTAGCACTCAGCACCTACGACATCCTCCGTACCGATTTCCAAAACGACAAAGCATGGCGCCACTACGCCGGCGCCGCCGAAATGGCCGCCCTCTCCGCTCTCATGTCGCCTACCCCTCTGTCTGCCAAATCCCGCGCCGAAAACATTGACGCGTGGATCGAAGCAGCATCCTACTCGTACACGGACCGCCAGCGCAGCGCAGCTCCCTACTACGCACTCCGCACCCTCGCCCTCTCGTTGGAGCTCCTCCGCCTCCGCGGCGCCGCCGCCGCAGACGACGCCGCCCGCTGGGCAACCCGCATCTTGGAAACGGGCCTCGTCGGCCCCGTCGGCCACGCCCTCGTCACTGAGCGCATCTCGGCCTGCCACGCCATCCGCACGGGAATCGGCGCCTACAAACTGGGCTCGCGCCGCAGGAAAGCTGCCCTCTGGTCCGTTCTCGCGGCCCAAGACTGGTATCGCCTCGAGAAATCGCAGCAGGCCGAGCGTGCCCTCGATACCGCGCTCAGACTGTACAATACGACGGCGGAGAATGCAGAGGGTGGTGCGACGGCTTTGCCGTATGGCGATATGCAGCGGTTTGTGGATGAGTTGCGGCAGCAGATTATGGGCCTGAGGCTCACCAATCAGGGGTTTGGCGGGCAGCTGGGTGAGGGCGAGGACGAGCGGAGACGCGGGATGCAGAGTCCCGAGGTGGAAGAGGTGGCCGAGACGCTGGATGCGAGTCCGAGGTTGCATAGGAAGAGCCTGATAGGGCAAAAGGCGCCACCGCCGATTGATCTGGGGCCATCGTTGGAGAGGTCGCAGAGCGAGGTGGATGCTAAAGGGGAGGGATTTGAGTAGATGTGGGGAGAAAGAGATAGGGAGGAGAGACGATAGATACGTGTTAATGGTTACGAATTCTTTCTCACGAAAAAGCCACGCAACATGAGCATTGTACACGTCACACGCAGATACATACATACATACATACATACATACGTGGTTGAACAGGCAACATGCAAACATGCTTTATCGAAGCCATCTCTTATTAGTCTGAGAGATGCATACTCTATACACCATTCATTCATTTCATTCAGTCAAACAGAGAGAGACAGAAAGTTAAAAAGACATTTCCTTTCAAACGCCAAAGCCGGTGAAGAGACTGCAGGCCCAAGCACTTTGGCACCCCGTCAGTCCGTCATGCCGGCGTATGCAACAATGGATAACACAGACAGCCATGCCGATGCTCGTATGCTATGCAAAGAACGCGAGATCCAAGGAAAGGGGAGAAGAAGAAGAAGAAAAAAAATGCAAATCAGAAAAGAATAACGCGCCCACCGTATGCTGTTAGGGTATCATTGTCTCGTCGTCATCATCAGCAATCATAAGTCGACCACCTCTTTCTTTCTCTCTCTCTCTTTTCACACAATAAAATCATAACAGGGGGTGAGGGGCTTGGGCACTACAGGAGTCTTGAGTGGTGATGCTTCTGCGGGCACGGTCCGAGGGTCTGTGTGTAGTGTCGTTTTGGGGGCAGGGGTTGGTTCCCGAGATGAGTCGGTGGAGGAGGCATCGCAGGTACGGAGTCCGCGAAGTTTGATGGTAAGCTTCACTGGCCTTGGTGGCTCGGGTGGAGGGGTCTGCAAAGTCGACTGTTGCGAGGCTACAAACCCATGTGATTCATCCGACGAGCTGTCAGTGCCTTCTGGCGTTGAATCGGAGTCGAACAGAGGTAAGGGGGAGCGACGCTTTCGTGAGCGCTGGCGTTGGTCGTCATCGTCACCATCGACACTAGGACTCGGACGCTTTTTGGACATTGGCTTTGGCACTACGTTGACATTTGGGATGCCAGTGTGCGGGCCGGCGATATTACGGACAGAGGAATAGTGCTCCCAAGTCTAGGGATACTACGTCAGTACAATATGAGCGGGGTAAGCAAGGAGACTACAACATACATGGTAGGCAATGTGGAGGGTCTGGCGTTTGTCATCGGCAGCGGGATCAACATTGGATGCAGAGGTGGTGCGTGGAGAGAAGAGGTAGGTATAGTCTGCCTGCCACAGGCGGACATTGACATTGAGAGCAGAGGCAAAGGCCGAGACTTCCATGTTGTCTGCCCACTCGCCAGGCTGACCCATCTTCTCTACATGATGGTCAAACTGCTGCTGCAGTTGCTCTTCAGTGTAGTAGGTGGTGTCGAGACGCTTGGTGGCGGCATTGGCAGCAGCAGCAGCAGCCGTCTTGCGTTTGGGATTTCTCCGCACATTATTGACGGCCATGTACTGGCGGTAAAAGTCTGCACAATCCCTCATGTGCTCGATGGTGGTGGCACGCAGGACCTCGTGCATGTCTTGGTGGCCGTAGAGCTGGTCGGACAGGGCGTTGAACAGGCAGTTGCCTTGGAGGAACGTCAGTGGTGGTGAAGCGAGGAGAAAGGGTCAAGTGCATGCTCACCATCGCCACGGATGCTGCTTGCATACAGGGCATTTGCATCGAGGATGGGGAATTCAGGCGAGTTGGCCCGGTGTCGTCGGGTAGCCATGGTGGTGGGAGCAGCAAGGATGTTTGTAGGACAGGAGAAGTCGGTGTATTTGGGGCGGAAGGCACAGGTGGGGTGAGGCGGTCATGGATGAAAGGAGAGCTCTGGTGGAAGCGGCAAGAGCAGTTGCAGGACAGAGGAGCTGGGCCGGCCACGCCACGATGGATGGGTGAAGGTCGTGGCCGGTGAAGGGCAAGGGGAGGCGGGCGAGGAATAATATCTTGTGTGACGCGCGCGAACTTGTGAAGCTCTGGTAGTAAAGGGACACGGGCAGCAGGGATGGCTCCGCTTGGCAGGTCTCAGGCACAACGACAGCAGGCCTGACTCGGGGCGGGCTCGCGCGAACAGAGACAGAACAATGCCCAGCCAGCGACGACAATCGGGCGGCAGCCAGCCAGACAAAGACCCGGCAGCTTCTTGCAGGATCGAAGGGTGGATGCAATGCCGTGGGCAGAGGGCCGGTGCAGCTAAATGTACTACTTGGGCCTGCGCGGTGCTGGCACGGAAAAATCTTCGGGCCTGCATACGTCTTGTCTACTTAGCACATGTACATGCTGCTACTTATGAACGACTACCTCGGACTCGGGCAATGATGTCAGGCACCGCAGAGCTGTGCCCCCTAGCTAGCCGCTGTGCTGGGGCGGGCCCGACTGGTTTTCGTCGTGTGCAGCGGGCGGTGGAGGCAGGGAGCGAAAAAGCAGAGCACGCCAATTGCTGGTGGAGACGGTGGTTGTGTGAAGACGAGGTGCAGAGCGGGTGTGAAGCAACGACCAGCAGACGAGGAGCGACGAGACTGATGCTCCCACCGCCCGTCTCATCTGCCCGAGCACATGTGTACTACTTACTTAGACAAACAAAGGCCTCTCCCTCTCATGTGCCCACGCGTTTTGTCTCGTGCTCGTGTGCCGCCGGAGCCAATAAGCGAGCTGGCAAAAAAAACCACTGCCAGATGACCCCGCCAACACGCTCCACCACCACCACCAACCACCAAGACCACCGTCCCCACTCCCTGCTGGCCTCTGCTGCCGCCCGTGGAGCCATGTGATGCCACGCAAAATCACAGCTGCGTCAAGCACGCCCATTGCTCGCACCCTCAAGCAGCAAACACCTACCATGTCCACCAAGAATGTCGTCGTTGCGGGGTAAGCATCTGCCCACCTCACCACACCCATCATCGGCCCTGCAGCCATGGCAATAACAATCAACACGTTCAATTTTCATGTGCCGAGCCGCCTCCCTCCATGTGCCGAAGCTGCAGGGCCGGTTGCTCGTTACAGTAGTCTTGATGTACTTTAATGTATCTAGTATGCTGACACTACCACCACCCCAGCGCCGGAGTCATCGGCCTCTCGACTGCCCTCGTGCTGTCCAGGCACAAGAACCTGACCATCACCGTCGTGGCCAAGCACATGCCCGGCGACTATGACATAGAATACGCTTCCCCTTGGTAAGAGATAAAATGTACAAAATGCACGTGGGACACACATTGACTTTGTACCTGCGAAAGGGCTGGTGCAAACTATTTTCCTGTTGGCAAGCCCGGCTCCGCACTGCAAAGGTTCGAGAAGGCCACCTGGGCGGAGCTCGAGCGTATATGTCGCCAAGTCCCAGAGGCCGGCATCCACTTCCAGAACACGCGCATCTATGCAAGGAAAAAGGATGCTGGAACAGTTACGGGCCAGTGGTTTGAGGAACTGACAAAGGAAGATGCTTGGTTCAAGGATGTGGTTCCTAACGTATGTTGCCGTCTCACTGTTCCTCCATGGATGTGACCTATATTCACACCCCCCTAGTTCCGTGTCTTGCCCAAAAGCGAACTCCCAGAAGACTGTGACACCGGCACCGAATTCTCATCCGTCTGCATCAACACTGCCGTCTACCTGCCCTGGATCCTTGGCCAATGTGTGAAAGCTGGTGTCATTATCAAACGTGGCATTCTCTCCCACATTTCCGAAGCCGCCAGCTTCCACCCTTCTGGCCATGCCGATGTGATAGTAAACTGCACTGGTCTTCTCGCATCCAAGCTCGGTGGAGTCATGGACTCGAACGTGTACCCGGGACGCGGCCAGATTGTGCTCGTCAGGAATGAGCCAGACATCATGTTGACAGTCAGTGGCACTGACGATGGCAGCGAAGAAGCTACCTACGTTATGCAGCGAGCTGTCGGTGGAGGCACCATTCTCGGCGGTTGTCTGCAGCATGGCTCGTGGGAGAGCCAGCCTGATCCTAGCCTTGCACAGCGTATCATGCAGCGCTCTATTGACTTGTGTCCAGCCCTCGCACCAAAGACTGGAAAGGTAACTGAACTTGATATTGTCAGACATGGTGTCGGTCTACGGCCCATGAGGACTGGTGGACCTAGAGTTGAGAAGGAGGTGATTGATGGCAAGTGGGTCGTACACAGTTATGGTCATGCGGGTTATGGCTACCAGAGTAGTTGGGGAAGTGCATGGGAAGCCGAGCAACTGGTACTGTCTATTGTGAAAGATGACAAGACCAAGGCAAAGCTTTAGAATAGACAGCATAGAATATCTACCATCTTCTAGCCATGCACGAATATATTTCCCTCGGTACATCTACCACCGTGGCTGTCTATTCACCCCGCTTCCACCACCGCCGCTCTAATCCCATCCACAGCAGGCTTCAAGCTCTTCGACGGCAAACTCCAATCATGCCTCTTCAACCCCTCCTCCCCCGTCAAAAACCACAGTGTCTCCGCCGCCGTGACACGAATCTAAATCCCTCATATTAGCAACCCTTAACTTTTTCTTTTCTTTTTTCCACCTCTCACATCAGAAAAAAAAGCTCACCTTGGGAAAAGGATGCAATAGCATACTCGTCACTTTCTTCAGTGTCTCTTCACGCGTCGCAGGCACGCTGCCCAGCCCGCGGTACATATCCAACGCGAGGAGCAATTTGTGCACGTGCGAGGATTTGAAGTGTGATTTTTGCGTATACGACAAAAGGGTGCGGAAACTATTTTTTCCCCTCCTTTGTTAGTAATTCAATGCTTTACGTTACGAACATGAGGGAGAAGATGTGGTTTGACGTACGGGAAGGATGTAGTAGTGAGGCGGTGCATAACATGCATGTCGAAGAGGAAGGTCAGGACTTCGAGGAGCGGGAGCAGAATGCGGTCGTTGTCGAGGTGGGATTTTAGCAGGGTGAGGAAGGTGGCTGCGAGGTCGAGGAGGGAGTATTGGTCTGCTTGATTACGGTTTTCAGGGAAAGAAGAAGGGAGCGTATCAACGAAATCAAGCAATGCCATGCGTGAGTTCTGGACTACGGATTCCGAGCCCATGCCTGCTGAGCTGACGAAGCCGACGCAGATGGCTTCTTTGACAATGGCGTCGGTCGATGATTGCAGTGGAGCGAGGGCGGAGAGGAAGAAGGATCTAGAAGAGACACCTGCGTCGAGTGCGCTGGGGTCGAGTGCGTGGTGGAGGACTTGACTGGCCTTGACACGCATTTTGTCTAGTTTCTCGAGAGACAGGCGGAGGACGTCGGCGTAGATCTCGCGGCCGCATGGTTCGTGAGTTGAGGTTAGGAGACCGGATGTCCAAGCCAAATGGACGGTGTTTAAGGCTTCTAGGCGAACCAGGGCCCCGACATCGCCTCGTTCGGTGATGGTGTAGTCGTTGAGGGCAATGTGCAGGGCGCGACCTACCTGTGTTTCTGCGTCCGGCGCGAGATGGTACGATGCTGAGGATTTGCTGGCGAGGAGGTCGCCCAGAGCGCGCAGGGCTACGGTGCGAGCTTCGATGGCCACGGCGGCAGTGCATCGGAATGTGAGTACTTTGACGATGCGGCGCTGTATTTCTTCTCTTTTCGTGTCAGCTGGAAGGTTAGTCAAGTTGGCGTATGCGGCTCCGAGCGCGACTGCGTGTCCTGAGCATCTGAGTCCGTTATACGAGGCTTCGTTCTCCAATCTGGTCAACCACGACGATACGACCTCAATGGTGTCGACGTTAGGTGTCTTAGAGAGGAGTAGAATGACTGCTGGTGCAGTGATAGCGATTCCATCCAAGACTAACTGTTCATGTCGAGTGAGGCACAGGTCAAAGAGGCGACAAACCTCTTCCGTGGGTATCTCGGATGACTTGATACCGGTAGAACACTCAGTCGTAAACGTAGCCATTGCTGCAATGAATGAACCTATGGAGGATGCCGTAAACTGTGGTCGCAGTGCTGGTGAGGTAAATGCCTTCTCTTCAAGTTTCAAGTCGCTTGACAATAGTGTCCAAAGATCCGAGAGACACACATACATAGCCCCATCTCTATTGTCGACAATCGAGGTTCTTGCAGTGTTTACAAGAGCTGCAAGCGCAGATACTAGTCCCTGCCGCTCCTCTACCTGTCTGGGACGCAAGGCTGAAAGCGTACTGCGCACTTGTCCTGACATTCTTTGAACCACAGCCAGGGAGCGTCCTTTCGATAAAGACCCCACGGCTTCTGCTGCAAACAAACGCGACTCGGAATCCAAAGATCCTGTTCCTCGCCATTCAAGGAGTCCTTCGAACAACGCTTCCCAGTAGAGCGAGCTCAAGTCTCCTGCCTTGATTGCCACATCACACATTGCTCGCTGACGGAGGCCAACAGCATGGAAATCTACCATTTGCACAAGCGGTATACCTTCCTCGATTGTATTCGGGTGTCGACCAATCAGTTCCTGCAGAGCGGCGGATGATCCTCTTCTGATGTTGCCTGCTGGGTCGAGACAAGCAGCGACCACCAGTTCAATTGCAAGGACTTGAGGTACATTCAATGCTTTTAGATGCTCCGACGCGCGTATTGACGCTGTGTCCACGACAAGTAGATCTGCAGTAGCGTAGCGTCTCGAGAGTGCCCAGATGCCAAAGCAAGCTGCGTCGCGAACGTTCGTACCGATGGATCCTCCAGTGGGTGATCGCTGCTCGAATCCAAGAGAGAGCAGAAGAGCGTTCAGGACGTCAGGCAAGTGGTTTGTTTGGACTGCTTTACGATAGAGCAGCTGGGAAAGTGTC